GATTGGGCCAGAGAGCCGCTCGGGCAGCGAGCAGAAACGTGACAAGAGGCTTTTGTCCGCAGTCTCAATCTCGGGAGGCCCGGCAAACGTCTGCGGCGCTCGGCCTCGGGGGGGGGCCTGGCTGGGCCCCGGGGGCCGTCCACAGACGACTCAGAGGAGGAGGAGAGGAGCGGAGGAGGAGAGGAGGAGGAGGGAGGAGGAGGATGAGGAGGAGGAGAGGAGGAGGAGGAGGAGGAGAGAAAGAGAAGCGGAGAGGAGAGGAGAGGAGGAGAGGAGGAGGAGGAGGAGACGGAGGAGGAGGAGGGGAGGAGGAGGAGGAGGAGAAGGAGGAGGAGAGGAGGGGAGAAGACGGAGGAGGAGACGGAGGAGGAGGAGGAGGAGGGAGGAGGAAGGCAGGCTCTGAGGAGGAGGAGGAGGAGACGGAGGAGGAGGAGGAGGAGGAGGAGGAGGAGAAGGAGGAGGAGGAGGAGGAGGAGGAGGAGGTCTGGGGGGATGGGCTTTGAGACTGCTGGGGGGACCGACGCCGTGCAGGAATCCTGTCCTCGGGGGCCTCGGGCCTCCGAAGGCTCTCTCTTTGTCGCATCCCGGCGTTTTGCCCTCCCTGCGGCCTCCCGTGCTCGGGACCCCGGAAGGGGTCGGTGGCCTCTCGCCCTCCTCGGCGGCTCCGGACATGGGGCCCTGCCCCGAGGACGCTCCCCCCGACGATCCTCCCCCTCGATCCTCCTCGACCCTCCTCCTCGATCCTCCTCCTCGATCCTCCTCCTCGATCCTCCTCCTCGATCCTCCTCCTCGATTCTTCCCTTCCTTCCCCTCCTGCTGCTCGTGTGGTGTCCTCCGGCCCGGCCCTCGCCGGGAGGCCGCCGCAGGCCGTCCCTCTTCACGGGCAGGTGCGCGCTGGCTCTTAGGAGCCCGCCCCTCTGCCGGGCGTCGGAGCTGCAACGGTCGGGGCCCAGCCGTATAACGGCTGCACGCTCGGAGGACGAACGGTGGGCTTTGTTTTCCACCACCACCACCACCACCATAAGCAGGAGGGGGAGGGGGTCCTCCTCCTCCTCCTCCTCCTCCTCCTCCTCCTCCTCCTCGTTTTCCTCCTCATCCTCCACCTCCTTCCCCTCTCTGAGGTATGGTGGCGGTGGTGGAAAACAGGCCCATCAGCGAATGTTCGCGGCACCAAGGCGAAAGCCGCACTTGGAACCGCCGGTGCTCTACCCTCGCAACTGCTGCACATGCTCAAGACGAATGTGCGCGGCGCTGGGGCGAGAGCCAAATTCAACTCTTCCGCCGTGCACTGTTGCACGCTTCAAGCTTCCAGATCGCAAGTACGAAACGCCTGGGGACGTGACAGGGAGGAATGATTTGTCAGGAAAACGGATGGATGAGGATGGGAACTGGGGTCGGGGCAGCTATATTGAAGCTGCCGGAGAATTGAAGCTGCCAGAGAACACACTGGGGCACAGTACAAATAGGGGCTGCTCAATGATCGGCGCAGGCACGACCTCGGCATGGACTGTGCAACACCATCAGCGTCATCGAACGTACCGACCCTCCAAACACACACACACACTCACTCACGCACACACACACACACACACTCACAACCGTTCGACACAACATCCCCGCCGTCGCTGGCTTTCCAAGCTCCGTCTCGAGAGCAAACAGCACACTGGAGCGCCCCCGACTCTCGGGTGGCCACGTCACCAAGACCAACGACGAAGAGCAACGGAGGGCGAGGGAGGCGGAACCGCAGCAAGACGAGCAGGAGGAGGAGCAGACTTAGAACGAGGACGACGACGCCGACGACCACGACGCCCGCCACGACGACGACCCCCGCGTTGACGACGCCGACGCCGACGCCGACGACAACGACGATGCTTCTGGGGTGGTCTGCGTTTTCGTGCGGCTGCACCGCTCTCGGGGAGTGGGTCCCAGACGGGCCGTCAGACACTTTTTGGGGCCCCGCCCTCACTATTGTGAGAGTTGGAGTATTGATTCTTATTCCCTGCAACGGTCGTTTCCCATGTGAGGGGGGGGCGGGTAGCGGTGACGCTTGAGCGGGGTGGGGCACGTCGTGGCGGGGTTGCGCTGCAACCGCCATCGTATGCGCGAGCGCACTGAGCACCAGCGTGTGGCGGGGGTCCAGGCTCGCCCCGGTATAACGACCGTTGCGCGCCACAGGGAAGAGCAGTCCGGAATGGGGAAGAGAAGGGGAGGAGGGGTGGGGGACGCGCAGAAGCGGGAGGACCGCCCGAGGGAAGAGAACGGGCGGCTTGTTCGCTCCCGGCTTCGCCGGTGTCGAGGCCCAGCGCAAGCGAGGCTGGAAGACGGTGGGGCCTGGGCGGACTGGTGAGGGCACCCTCCTGGCTGGCAGAGCTGGGCCAGAGGGGGAGGGCGAGCCGGCGGGACCGACCGAACGGTGGCGGGCTCGCTGTCGCGATCGCTCAGGAGGACGAGGACGATGAAGAGGAAGACGAGGAGGAGGAGGAGGAGGAGGAGGAGGAGGAGGAGGAGGAAGAGTCGCTGAAGCCAGCACGTGCCCGCGCCAGAAGTCATCGGTTGGTCTTCCCAGGGTCGAAGTGAAGCTCCATCAGTTCTGAGAGAGGGATGATCCTTGGCGGACATGCGCGCAACGCTTTCCCGCTCTTCGCGTACACCGGACAGAGTACCCAATCTACAGCGCTAGTGAGGCTAATGCGAGAAACTCATAGAGACGCCTTCCACCCACCAGGCTCCTCTGGAATCTTGGCGGCAATATTGCATCCCAGTGCTCCTTGGGGGCTCTCTCGCTTCCTGTCGGAACCCCCATGGCATTGGGAGTTTGAAGCCGCTCCGGGTGTTCCTGCGGCTTGGCGGCATGCCTCGTATTCAGTTGGTGAACGGTGACAAACCAAGACATGGGTACGTCCGAAGAAACTGCAGCCATAATCCACGGCCCGTGGGTCGAAATCCTCTCCATTGTCATTTCTCTCCGGCTGTGATTTCCGAGGTCCTGGCTGTACTGCCCTGGCTTCTGGAACCCTGACCCACCGCGCCCAGACACCTGCAGGATGGGCGGGAGCCCGCATATCGTCCGTGGCGCTCATGCTGGCATCGGCCACAGCGTGCTCGACCACAAGCCTCCCGCGCAACCACCGGGAAAGGCAACGTGACGAGGGAGGAGCTGCAAGGGGGAGCCCAGCGCTCGCTCCAGCGGGAGCCCCTCTCGCCATGGCCCAGCGCAGGAGAAGCGGCCCGGGAGCTTCCCGGTGGCTTCGAGCGGAGCGAAGCAGGAAGAGAGAACGGGGATACGGGGGATGATGATGATGAGAAGACAAGGAGCGCTGCGCACGAAGAAGCGGGGGGTGGGTGGAGGCAGAAGACGGAAAGGAGGAGGGGCAGGAGGTCGAGAGAGTCATCATACATGACAGAAGGGCGAGAGAGACAGACAGACAGCTTCTCCGGCAGACAGCTGCAGTGGCACACCCGCAAGGGGCAAGGACACAAACGCACTCTCTCTCGCTCTCTCTCTCTCTCACACACACACACTTTTCCTCCAGCGCCGAGGTGGCGGCACCGCCGCAGGCGCTGCGCTTGGACACGCTTGTCCGAATCCCACACGACGTAGCAGATGGGTGGCCTGGATGGGGGCTGACGCAGGCAGCCACACACTTTTTTTTGATCTGCAGGGCGAGAGCGAACCTCCTCCGCTGAAAGCTAAGCACATGCAGCCACACACGCGCATGACTGCCCCCGTGGCGCCAACGTCTCCGGCGCCAGGGCAGGTGCCGCCGCCGACGCGCGACGGGCCACGCCCGCCCCACTGCGCGACGCGCGCCCGAGGCAGAGCTCAGACTCGGAATCTGCTCCCCCTATAGGGCCTAACCCGGCTTCGCCTACCGCGCCCCGCGGTGCGCGACGCGCGCCTACCTCTGCGCGCTCCCGCGCCCACTCGTCGCCTCCCTTGGAGAGGGGCAACCGGTCCAACTCAGACCGCGGCGCGCGGTCATCTTCGCGCCCCTGGTTACCAGCCTCGAATGTATCCCTATCCCTAAGATTGACACGCCAAAAGGCGATGACAATCTTAGGGACTCGCCCTCAAAAAATAAGAGAATCCCTAAGATTGGGATCGTAATGAGGAGGTGCCCAGCATAGGGATACGGATATGTTCCAGGCTGGTGAGCAACCGGTCAGACTCAGACCGCGGCGCGCGGTCATCTTCGCGCCCCCTGGGGGTTGGCCTGGATCCTTGAAAGAAGCGCATGCCCGGCCGCGATCGCGCACACCTGCACGCCTCACGTGCCGCTCGTGGCGCTCGGCCCCACGCGCGAGGGACCTTTTGGGTAAGACCGAACTCTGGTGCGCGGCCGGTTTTTGCCGCGGGGGGGGGCCAAACACGAACGCGCAAGCCGCGACTATCGCAGGCGATCGGGGGAGCCCGATGGGCCCACACTAAAAGGTCGCTCCGGCGAGAGGTCACCCTTGCGTGTAGCCGAATGGCTTCCGAGGACGCCTGCGCACTCGCAGCAGCGGGCCGGATCTTCGCTCCCCCGCGGGAGGGGCAACCCCCGGGTCCTGGAGAGCAGGCCGCGCTCTACCGCTGGTGCCTGCCTGCTTCGTAGGACAGGCCACGTGCGAAGCCTACTGCGCCACCCCGCGAATTCTAAGGGGGGAGGTGGGGTTCACTTCGTCCGGGACCTCCCGAGCGGAGTGAAGCCTGCCAACTCCCTTCGACACCGTGGGGTAGTGAGGTAGGGTTCGCACGTGGCCTCCTACGTCTCGAGCGTGCCTCGGCCTCGCCTGTAATAACCGGGAAGAATATTTAAAGACAAACCCGCAACAGTGGGAAACTAAATCCGCCGAGCCTTCCGGCGTCCGGCGTGTGGAATGGGTTGTTCTTCTCGTCCGTGCAAGGGTTCCCTTTCCCACCTTCTCCGTCTCCTTCTCGTTCGTCTCCCCCTCCTCCTCCTCCTCCTCCTCCTCCTCCTCCTCCTCCTCCTCCTCCTCCTCCTCCTCCTCCCCCTTCATCTCTTCCTCCTGGGTGGGTCAAAACTAAAGACTTCTAGAGGTTAATGCCTGCCGTGGTGCCAAGTCTCGCCCCCGCGAAGCCCCGGCGTGCCTGCAGTAAACATACGCCAGGCGGTGTACGTGGCTCTGGGTGTCCTGAGCGCACTCTCCACCAATCCCTTCATCTGCTCGCTCTGCTGACACTCATCATCACCTTCCCCACCCTCCTCCTCCTCAGTAGACTCTTGCTCTCGCGCACCTCCTCGCCCAGAGCCCCTCGAGAGAACGACAAGGACTCTTGCCTCACGGGAGTTTCCGCTTTCGGGTGGGCGCTGACATATGTGACAGCTCACGTGTGCACGGCTGGGGGGCCGGTCACTCTGCTGGCCACAACAACGGCGGACAAGCGGAGGACGGTCTCGGGAGTATGCGCAAGGACAAGCCGTGTCAGTGACATATGTCAGAAACCCAACAAACGATAATCACCAAACCTGGAAGACTCCAACATGCAACATCAATGTTCGAGTTGCTGGTGTCGTGCCCAACTGTTGATGTGAACAACCTGACCATTTCTTGGCAATGGGAACGCCAACGAGAGACGATATGGCTCGTACCAAATTAGCCGGCCTGGAAGCCAGACACTGCCTGCTTAACTTCTTCAATCGGCCACAGCCGCTGCTCAGTGCGACGAGGAGTTATGTTGGTCGGTAGGGTAAGGGCGAACAACTGAGCTTACCTTTCTTCGATCGGACAAGGGCAATTGACCAACTAGTGTCCATATCGAGCATTGATCTTCAGGGCCAATAACCGTGGGGTAAAACCATGTTTAAGCGCGAGACGGTCTTGCCACATGACACCGTGTGCACAACAATGGAATTCCTTCCTTGCCCTGAAGAGCGGCATGAATGAAACAAATTCCATCGCCGTCCTCCCTCGCGTTCTCGACGGCATGGTCGGCCCGCGCGGATGCGCACATCAACTCGCACTGGAGATTGTCGATGTACTCGACAGCCACAGCCCTGTCAGCAGTCGCGCAGTCGCTGCATGCGGCACGCAGACAAAATGCTACCTGCAGGGCTAGGAGAAGGCTGGGGCATGGGGAAGGAGAAGGGAGGTCGCTCGGGTCTACCTGGAGTTGAACACACGCCCGCTAGCACTGTCGCTACCCAAGCAACTACTGCAAGAGTGGACTGGGAACACACACACATACATGTGTATATATATCTATGTATGAAAAGTTTAAATGGACAGACACAAGCAATCGAAGAGACCAACCAAAAAAAAATAAGTCACCGCACGCGACGTAGATGCAATATGTGCAGTCGTGGTCTGTGTCGTGTGTACAAATATGCAAAACTCAGAACAAGAGTTGCACGTGAGGCGCATGCGTACCTGGTCAACAGGCCTGCCGCCGACGAGGATGATTGAGTGTGGAAATGGCTCCACAATTCATGCGCGTGTCGCTGGACATGCTAGCCGTGTAATGCGTAAGACGTCCCAAAATGACCAATTCAGACCGCACATCAATGCATCAAACCAGCGCCTATTTGCATTTGCAACTCTGACTGATCCACCACAGCCTAGCAGACAATCCAGAATGAGGCCACAGGTCGCTGTGATGACACCTGGCTTCCATATCCTTACGATGGACGAGACTTTCATCTACGACGGGCGGAACATTGCCCAAACGCTGATTAACACTGGCACCACTTTCGGATCGACAAATGATCAACACTTGATGATGTTTTGGCAATTATGCCGCAGTGCGCACACATTTGATTCCCAGCAAATGCGAGATGGGCCCACACATGCTCACCATGCATGCTCGCAACGATGCCACGGCACAGATGGAGGCAACACAGTGAACAACCTGACTACCCCGTTGATCCCTTTTTGTCCCTTCCCGTTGCGCAGTTCCGTCGTCGCTTCACTCTGGATGTGGTTATCCCCAAACACTTCCTGTCGCCCCAAATCGACCCGTGCCAATGTGATTACACTCCACTCTGCTGCACTCCTCCTTGTCCCTCTTGCTTTTTCATCCCATCGTCCTCACATCGTCCGGCTCCTGCTGCTGGTCCTCATCCTCGTTCCCGCCTCCTCCTCCTACTATTCCTTCTTCTCCGCCGCCCGCCTGTTCCTCCTTCTCATCCCCCCGCCCCTGGGGAAACCACGAGATACCAATGCCGCTACCCCACGGACCTCTCCAAGGGTACGTTATGAACAAAAATGTGCATCGAATCCAACCGTGGCGACGAGGGCCTCCCACGACGCCCCAAAAAAGCGACAACGAGACAATGGTAATAGTATCGGTACTCTTCCTCCTCTAGCCTCCTCCTCCTCCTTCTCCTCCTTCCCTCCTCCTCCTCCTCCTCCGCATCTTCCTCCTCCCGCTGTTCCTTCTCCTCCTCCTCCTCATTCCTTCGTGGCCTGAGGGACAGAGTCTGAGTTAACGCACATAACCAGAGCAGAGCAACGATGGCAAAATGAAACAAGAGAGGCAGCGACCGCGGCAGCAGAGCGTCCTCCACGTGCAACTTCAGGAGACCCCCCCGCCCCCCAACAAAGGCCCAAACAACCCTTCACGGTTGGGTGATTTACATGGCCCAGTCCTTGAAGGGCACGGTCAGGAATGAAACCCTCCACCATCAGGCCGATGTGGATCACGGTCGGCCGTAGTTTCGCTTGGGGGGGGCCACGCCGGGACAGGAAATGAACAGGGGCCGTAGGTGGGGACGGGGCCAGTATCCACCAGACTTATCTGAGCAGAACTGTCTCCTTCGCGCAGGTACTTCAGCGTGCACATGTGAAACATCTTAGAAACGGCCTGTGCTAATGCGAGGCGACGTGCCGCGCGCACGACAGCATAACCAACTCCCCTCAAGAATCGGCCAGAGTTGTGGTGCTGCGCAAACTCTTGCGGGATACAAACAACTACATAAACTCTTGGACCATTCCCGAGCATCGGTACTGCGAGAAATAGGGTTGCCGCGCAGACCATCCGAGGGCAAAGATAAGAGAGTGGTGCCCGAACGGAATCCCGGCCGCACTGAAAACAGAAATACGGGCCCAGCCGCACAACGTACGGAAACATCGTCATGCAACTCCAGGGGGGGGGCGCAAGGTCCAGGCAACTACTTAGAAGCGCCCCCGAATTCGAATAAACACTCAGGCAAAAAGCGGCGGGGCTGAGAAGGATACGTCTTGGCATTTGATGTGCGCCATTCCCGGCGGGCCCGCCTCCCTTCCAGGACACGCCGGTGGGCAGGATGGGCGACCCTCCCCCGATTTGGCCACTCCCGAAGAACTCGGCACATGGATGGGGGTGTGAACAGCAAGTAGCCCAGTGGGTTTCTTGGCCGTCTGGTCGAATTCGCACTGCTCCACGCGGCGAAAGTGAACTCAAGGTTGCGCCTTCGATCTATTCCGGACAGGGACTCGCCGCCAAGAGTGGATGTTTTCTCCATGTTCCGCCGAGGGAGCGCAGGGAACCCGACTTCCCTGAGCGCAAGGAGTTCTGCCCGGTGCTCCATGAGCGCAGGGGGTTCTGCCGGGCGATGCGTGCGCGCAGCGAGTCCAACTTCCCACGCGCCGATCCAACATTCAATGGGGCACCTCAGGAGCCCATTGCTTGCGTCAACTTGACCCCGCCCCCTGGAAGCGATGCGGGCCAAAGCCAGAGGTGCCTCAACAGAGCGGAGCGGTCTCGGGCAGGGGCCCCCGTCCTCAACCCTGCTTTGTCTAGCAGCGTTCCGTACCTCGCACGGTGGGCCATCCAAGGCTGCAGCATCTCACCCCTGGGCCACTGGGCCCAACCAGTGCCCCGCAGCAGAGGGTCTGGTTGAGTCGCCGCAAGTGGGGGAGTGGGTACTACCCGCACAGTGCTCAATCACCTTCTCTATATGCAGAATTGCAAAACCCTTTTTCCCGCCGCCGCCAAGAAAAACAAAAAGACGGCGGAAACGGCGCAAAGACCGCAGGCGGGGGCGGTGCAGGATCAGCAACAGGGGCCAAAGGCACCACGATCCAGGGATCGCACTGCGCCGCTCTAGGTCCACGGGGGGGGCCGATAGATCTCCTCGGAGGAACATCTGCAAAATCATTTGCGAGGCCTTTGGCGCTGCTCGACTGCCTGGCCAATTCCTGAATTTCGCGCGACTCAACGACCTCGCCCTGGCAATATCTGACGTCAGCAACAAGCATCTTGATTGGGCTAAGCGTTTCGCCTTCTTTTGATGCTTTTACAAACGACAATTGGATCGAAAATCCCAACGACATATTTCACAGGCCGTACCAGCGGCCATGTCAGCAGGCTCGCGTCGCTGAGGATGGGCCTTTCCCCAATTAGACTTCAAGTGCCTGGGCGATACAAAAACGACCGCCCGCGCTCGTAGTACGCGCGTTTGCGCTCAATCTCTGTCGCGTGTTCCTGCATCGCCGTGCCCCTCGTTATGGTGGCCACCGCTTCCTCCTACGGCACGCGCCGGCGTCGGTCTGGTCTGTCCGCTGTGCTCCGGCCTTTGCGATGGCGGTCGCAAGCAGGGGGCGAAAACGAAGGATATCCATAGATATTGACGCGACCCGTTCGCCTACAGCGCCGCCCCCCCGAACGTTGGAGGGGCCCGCAAACGTGCCAAACCAATCAAAACCCGCGAGAGAGCAAACGCCCAACCATCTCTAGACAGAGCTGGGCGTCATCCAGAAATTGCATTTAAAAAGGCGGCGCTTTATTCGAGATTCTCACAAAGCACCGCAGCCCGTTGATGCGCGTCGCGTCTACCAAGGGAAGTCGGTCCACCAGGGCCGAGATATTGTCGCGAGAATCTTGGGAACCTTTGGAATTGGCAGCAGGGGAATTGTAGTCGCACCAATCAGCGATCTCGCGAACCAAAACATGAATTCGTCTTTGATTGGCCACAATGAACATTCGCCACAAGGCGTTGTTGCTCGCTCCATTAGCGTGGAACTAGAACGCCCACGCTGAAGGAGAGCGACGGCCTGACATTTTGTTGATGGGTCTGCAAGCGGCCCTCACTCGGGACACTTGGACGCTGCGCGCGGTCAACCCCACGCTCTCATTACGAGCGTCCGCCAGAATAAACCCCAGGCGTTTGTGCGACCTGGCCACGCTAACTCTAAACTTGCAAAGTGGGAGCGTAATGCGCGGCACTCCCATGTCATACGAATCGCGACGCGACGCCCGAGCACCCTTGCCTCATACCCTTTGCCTTGGATGAGCGCATGCAAGGCGACCCCCGACCCCCCACATTAAGAACTTTAGACGAATGGGACCGTCAACTGACGCGCGAACTGCAAGCGGAAACAGCTCGACGGTCAGCCAACGACAACGCCGCGCGCGCTGCTGCTATGCGCATTGGAGTTTGAACAATGCCCAAAGTCACTGTGAATGTTCGCGCGCTCGTGCCAAGGCAAAAACCAAAGGGCGCGTCGGCCTTGAGCGGCGCCGGCACGAGCCTGGGGCGGCGCCTGGGGCCCGCCGCGCACGGGCGCGCATCGGAAAGTTTAGATCCACCCCGAAAACTGAATCCAGGCACCAGGCGCGCAAAGTTTATATGAACTATTAACAAAAAAATATCCTGGCGAAGGACCCAACCATATGCAATTGTGAATAACGCTTTGTGGGTGCCGCTTTCGGATGGGCTCCTCATGGGGCCACGAAAGGCGTGCCACGAAACGCTGTCCTGGGCGTACGGGACGCATGAGGGCGGTAGCACTGGGGCCTTCGGTGGAGCTCCCTATGGGGCCACGAAGCGTGTGAGGGGGGTGCCGACATGGGCGCGGCGACGCCATGCGAACGCAGCCACTGGGGCCTTCGGTGGAGCTCCCTATGGGGCCTCGAAACGTGTGAAGGGTGTGCCGAAATGGGTGCGGCGCCGCCATGCCAACGCAGCCACTGGGGCCTTCGGTGGAGCTCCCCATGGGGCCACGAAACGTGTGAGGGGTGTGCCGAAATGGGCGCGGCGCCGCCATGCCAACGCAGCCACTGGGGCCTTCGGTGGAG